CATTTAGAGGGCAATGTGGTTTTAGGATGTATATACCTAATAAACCTGCTAAATATGGTTTAAAAATAAAAATTATGGCAGACTCAAAGACACATTACATGGTAAATGCAGAACCATATACAGGTGCAGTTGGTGTTAGAACTAAAAAAAAAAAAAAGAAAAATGAATTTGGCGATGCAACTAAAGTTGTTGTACTTATATTAGTACAACCAATAATTAATACTGGTATAAATGTTACAACAGTAATTGGTATATATCTATTGAACTTGTAAATGAACTATTAAAGCAAAAGTTAACTCTTGTTGGAACTGTGAACAAGAGAAAAACATTTATTCCACCTGAATTTTTACCTCAAAAGAAAAGAGAAGAGCAGGAATCCATTTTTGGTTTTCAGTCACAGTTGACATTGGTGTCTTACGTGCCAAAGCGAAATAAATCCGTAGTATTGCTTTCTAGTATGCACAATGATAAAGTAGTTGATGAGGAAACTAAAAAACCTGATATAATTCTGTTTTATAACAACACAAAAGCAGGTGTCGATGCGCTAGATCAAAAATGTGCGAATTATTCGACATCCAGGTGAACTCGCAGATGGCGTATGACAATATATATGTCAATGGTAGAGTTCAATATCAATTTTCTCCACTTGGAAAAGAAATTAAGAGATCTGAATTTATCAAAGAACTTGGGATTGCATTATATCAACCACTTATCCGATTTAAGAGTATCCAATCCAAAAGTGAACCGCAAATTACGTGATGAGGCTTCCAATATTTTTAAAAATGATATCGAACGTCTCGTTGAACCCTTAGGCCCGTATTTATAAACAGAACTTACCTGAGTCGGACTTGGGTAGGTCGTCCTTGAACTAAAATCGAAGTTCGGTTACAACGTCTCTAAAGTTCTAGGTGGTTCTGGTGTTAGACTTGAATTTAGAGCTGGATATTAGCAAATCTGTAACTGTTACGTACATTTAAGGATTTGTTACTACTTATCTCTAAATTCACGCGATATAACCGAACTTCGATTTTAGTTCAGGGACGACTCAGGTAAGTTCTGTTTATAAATACGGGCCTTAGAAGTTGTTTCGAAGTCCAAACGCAAACGATGTTTATTATTTCCCGCTAAACAAGACAGAAAAACAAACATCAATTGCGCGGTGTGTAAAAATCCCATATGCTTACAATGTACAAAAAAATTATGTGCCAATTGTATGGTAAATTTCATTTAGTTTATACTTAATAATGCTCATGAGGATATGTATTTTATTATTTCAATATACTTCTGTTTATATTCAAATTTTTATTCATCTCTTTTTTATTGGTGCATTAGTTGTATTACCTGCGTAACTTATATTTGTGGGTAGCAGTTATGGGTTAACTCAAACACGAGTTCGTTAAAAGATTCATGACACCATGCGGATTTACTGCTATAAACCTGATGTAATTTGTTTGAAACCCAAGCCCAATGAAAATAATCAAATTCAAAATTTATTGTTTTGTTTTTGTCCTTAAAAATTTGATGCAAATATTTAAAACAAGATCTACATAATATAAAATTATATTTTTTAATCTTATAATAATTAAACCAAGTACAGCAGTAGTCACAATCGGTAAATATTTCCAAATCATTACTGTTTATCAAGGTCTCTCTAGTCATTTAAAAATTTATCAGACTGTTGTTGTTATTATTGTATATTTATGTATACATATATTGTTTAAATCTAAAAAAAAATTAATTCAAACATTTTTGTTCTTCCATTACGCTGAAAAGACCTAAAAGTAGGGTAACGTGTGAGCCCGGAATTATATGACGTTTATCGTCAAACGGGTTTAAGGTGATTTTTGATTTGTTTAATGCTGTATTCATTATGTAACTTAGATTGTATGCAATGTTGAGTGGTATAAAATATAGAATCTTGAGACTTTTTCAAAAAATTTTGTAAACATTCTAAATAATCTTCAAATCTGATTTTATTCTTGACATTTGTTTTTATCCCTTTTGCCTTTTTAAATACTTCCCCATCTAACTTAAAATTATACTGCTTCGAACGTAATCCTGCAAAATAAGTCATTATTTTGAAATTGTTTTCATCTTTCATTAGTCCTGGGATCCCTGGGATCTTTTTATTTACTAACGGTATACTCCAGCGATTATTTTTAGGATAGTCGCTGGTATCGAATCTTACAATATCTTTTTTTTTAATTACCTCTTCATATGCGTCATTACACTCTATTTCATATGTAAGACTATCGGTATCTGTATACAAAAGCTTACATTCATCAAGCGGAAACTTTTCTAACATATAATCATGATGAAATTCATACACGCAAATTTTTGATATATCTAAAATTGCCATTTCTATATATAAAGGTTTATTGAATTCGATTCTAGATTTCTTAAGTTCTACAGCCATAAGAGATTCAAAATATAATAGGACTAGAAATTAAATTTTTCTTCAAGCGTATAATAATGTTTACATTATATCAAGGTACACGTATTGTAGAAGTAGCCTATTTTTATACTAATACAAATATTTTTCATTTTTGTACTATACTCTGTTTTTAAACTAAGAGGAGCGATTTGAATTTAAGTTGGCAATTCTGTAGCCTTCTGATTGGTCAGATTACAGTCAGTTTCACACATTACTTTTTAGCATGAACATCAGCTAATAATTGATATTGTTGTAAGTTCTGACATTTTATAATTTAATATTTCATCCATTACTTAGTTTTTTACTTTATTTCGTAAATAATAGTTCTTCAGTAAGCAATTGTATTGAAAATCTACAATTATGGATCCTTCTACACTGAGTACTATTAAAGGTAGCAATTCCTGAAAAGCCTTACAAGAAAGGGAAGACACCTTATTATTTTACATGCTGATTCTGAAGGTTTTGTAGAAAATATATTATTGGTTTTTGCAGGTAAAAAGATGGGAGATTACCATGAAGAGATGAATTCCGAAGTATTTTAAAAAAAAATAATTTTATTACTGATTTTTTAAAACTAAAAATTGATGAATTTCTAACCAAAATGATTAAAATGTAACTAAATATTTAAGCAATTTTATTTATTAAAATAGAATAAAAGTATTTACAAAATTGTTATAACATTTAAAACACCATCTACTACTTTAGGGATAATCTTAATTTGGCACAATGAGTTAACATTACTTTCACAAAAAATATTTTAAAAATACTTAAAATTAATACATAGATATGTATGAATAGTTCACTTTAAAAAATATATGTTGACATGTAGTGTTATGAAAATGTTGGTTCCAGTTTTCAAAACAAATTCTGACTCATAGGCCTGTAAACTTTTGAATGCCTTTATTTGCCCTCTAGCGCATTAACCATGGATTAACACTAAATAAGCCGTAATATCCACATTACTCCTCGAAGAGATACCAGTTACTGTGTGATCCACTTGTCATTCACTGATTAACTTTTACTTTTTATACCTATAACAAATATATCCTTAAAAATGTAAACAGATCTTTATATTTTATACTAACCTGGCTACATCTGGATATTCCATTAACAATTTTCTTAAATATTTAATATCCATTTTAAAAAGATCATAGTTATTCTCAAAAAGTCGATTTCAAAAGCAAGAAAAAAGTATTTCTGACATCAATCAACAACCATATTGACTTTAATTTGACAGTGACATTTCGTTTTAGACACACATTTCAGATCACAATAATGTGAAATTTGCGACCGTTGTCTGGGACCAATTAAAAAATTACTTCTATGACATTTATTCGTTTCTTAACCGCTCATTGGCCGTTCGCCGACTAAGGTCGATAAAGATAATTATTTCATAAATTTTGAACACGACTATATTTCGAAACTCGCTCTTAGTAACAAATCTAGTTACTTTTCCCTGTGTAAATGCGTCTTTTCAATTCGCTCCTCCTAGTTTAAAAACAGAGTATAGTATAAAAAAGCACAAACCTAATGTTAAATGGCTTATTATGAACGTTGCAATCAAGTAGGCTGGAACTGCCATTTGAGTACTTATTTAATTTGACGTTTGTCAGTGTATGATTTAGAATATAAAAAAATAGTGTTAACCCGTTCGTTATACCTGTGTTTTTCAAGTAAAAAGAAAATGTCAGAAGAAATGCAATCAACACCTCCCGAATTGCTAGAAATAGCGAAATCTTCAATAGAAACCTTAATACCTACGAAATCGAAGAAAGTTTACGATTATGATTACACAAAATTTGTGAAATGGAGTGAAAAAAATCACGTACATTTTTATTCAGAAAATGTTCTGATCGCATATTTTACTAATTTGTCTGAAAAATTCAAAAGTTCAACAATGTGGTCGCAGTATTCAATGCTGAAATCAAAACTAAATATTAAACATAATGTAAAAATTGAAAACTATTCAAAATTAATTGCCTTCTTAAAACGAAAAGGTGATAACTACAAACCGAAGAAGTCAAAAGTTTTTTCTAAACAGGAGTTTGATAACTTTCTTAAGAATGCACCAAACAAGACATATTTAGCAACTAAGGTAGGTACATAATTTTTTTAAACTGTTATAGTTTTACAGATATTCTATTAATTTCAGCTTTTTTATTTTAATTTTTTTATCCATATTTTTATTTAAATGCTTGAAGAAAAAATAGTATATGTCACTCGGATTAGAAGGCCCATTATATGTTTCGCCCAGTTTGCACAGCTTCGGCTAACGCCTCAGCTGTGCAAAATTCTTGGCTCAACATATAATGTTGGCCTTCTACTCCTAGTAACATAATATACTATTTTTGCGTCCATTCGACTATTCCAATTCCTTACAATTTTACTACCCTATGCTTCCTCAAATTCTGCATAGTCTTGCCAAATACGGCAGTGTTCATCAGTTTGTATACATTTTTCTCAAATTCGGTTGTTGCTCGAGATCTTAATAAAGTATTAAGCTCTATATACGATTTTAACCATGGACTTTGCTTAAATTTTAATACGCGATGTATCTTTGTTAAGATTAATCCGTGGCCGAAGCTTGTTGCAAATTTTGATAATGCATAATGTATTTCTCCTTATTACAAAGGGTAGTCATTAATTTAGGCAATTTTGAACCGGGTGGAGGACAATGTTCAGCACAAAAACGTAGATCTTTATGCCGATCATGAATATGTTGAGGGTACTCAAGATCAACCTCCAACATATACCCCTCAGGTGCATCATTAGGGATTTGGGTGATATCAATGTTGGTATCTATCCATTCGAAACCTCCGTACGGCAACTGTTGAGACATGGCCCACCCGTAGAGATTATTAACATCAAAGTACATTAAATACTTTGATGGTTTCGTAGAATCAAAATCAGATATATATTTATTGTTTGCTTCGCCATGCCTATTACAGCACTGTGATATCCCTCCTTGTATACCACCCTCAAAAAATAATAACATGTCGACATCCTGTATTGTTTCTAAGGTATATTTAAGCATACAATCCCAAGTATAACTGGAACTGTATAATAATGAGCGGGGTCTAAACGGTATGTTTTAAAACATGTATCTCTAAACATTTCAAACACTGAGGCAAGTAAAAGTATATCGGTTTTCATATACAAATCGCTATAATCTCCAAGAGTTTTCAAATTGAATTTTTCCCAAACTAATTTTACGTGGTTATAATCTGTATCAGTAATATGTTGATCCATAAGTTTATTATAGAAACTATTTTGATTTGGTAATTCCGTTTCTTCTAATCTTTCAAAGAAAACACCCTTTCTAGTCAATTGCTTAAATTTTTTCTTATCTAAATCGTGGATTTCATTTTTAAGATCAGTATAATTTCCTGGTTTCAAAGTTGCTGATAGTTTATCAAGCGAACATCCCATTTCCTTATCGTGAACTGTAAAACTTATATACTTTTCTTTATTTTTGCTAAATCACGTAATTATAAAATGAGCATCGTAGCCACTGAGGTTATGAAAAACAACAAGAATTACAAAATATTTTTTATAATTTAAGTTGCATTTGTTGTGGACAAAGTACTAGATGCATCCTTTAAGCTCACCGCTGTGTTTAAAGGTTCTACGTTTTTCAATTTCTCGAGAAAACCAAGACATACAATCTAGACCCCTATCACTTTTATAAAACGAACAGTTATTATTATAATTACATTTAAAATACAATCCTGCACTATAAGCTTGATGTTTTTGATAGCGAGATGTTTTTGTTAACGACTTTGAACCACTACGTTTTCTTTTTTGATTAACATCAACAAAAGGCTTGAGTAATGACTCGAAATTTGCATAATTAATAAATGGTACTCTTTCTTGATATGCAAAATTTTGAAATTTAATGTAGGGATAATTAGGAAAATCTATTCGACAATCATCTAATTTTTCACAATAATCGATATGATTATTTAACTTCATCTCTGAATTAAAATAATTTAAACATCGATCAAAAATATATTTTATGCACGACCGGGCGATAAAGTCCAGATTATAAATACGTTTAGCGGGCGTAAAGTGTCACTTTACCGCCCGCGGACTACTTTACCGCCCGCTGGGCGGTAAAGTAACTTTCTTTTTTTTTTTTAAATTCACATGTAGTTAGTAAAACAAACTTTAATATTATTATTTATTATCATGGAAATATTTGGTACAATTAACAAAATATGAGTTTAATAAAGAAATTATAACTTTAAAAGCCCAAACATAAGATCCTCACACTTATAATTTTATACTAATAACACAATTTGAACAATTACTTATAGAAATGTTAGGATTTGCTACCTTGCTCTGTTGTAAATTGCTACGAACTTCTACTAACTCCGTATGATTTGGGTTACTGCTGGAAGGTGTATGCTCAAAAGAATCGGTATGTAAATTTGAAAATTCAGCTGTGCGACTAGTAGAAGGCATATCAGCATTGACAATTTTTTTGACGATTTTCATTTTATTTGTCACAGAATCTTCAATATAACCTTCTGCCACCGTTGTAGACTTCCAACCAGCATGTCGCTTTATGTTAAGGATATCCTCACCTGCATTAGCTAACAAAGTTGCTGAAGATCGTCTAAAACAATGGCCTGTGTAGTCTTTTGGAGTAGGCAATTTTAAATAAGTTGCTATTTTAAAAGGAATTTAAAAAAAAAACCAAAAAAGGTTGACAGCTGTGTGCACGTAGTTTAGATTCAAAAAGGAAAAACTTGTATTTCGTGCAAAACTTTTTTATTAATCAATGCAAAGCGCTTTCGGCTTATTTGCCATCATCAGTGCTCATTGTCCACAACGTATCCAACAAGTTCCTGGTCATCCTCACTCCCAAAATTATAAATTTCGGGATGTTTACAACTTGCTAAATCATAATTTTATTAATATTAATATTTTCAAAAGGAATTTGACTAAATGTATTCTTTCCAACCACCTGACTGGAACATTTTCCATTTCGATAATACACAAAAAAACGTCCGTGGTTGGTATTTGTCGTACGTAGTGAAGCATATTTTCGATATAAGTCGAGATAACTTGGTGATTCCTGCTCTTTGTCAATCACACTGAAAATGCGGTCAATTTTAGTTTTAGATGCTCGTATGGTTACCAATAAGGTTGTTCCTAAATCTTGAATATCGTCTATTGAAATATTAGCTAATTCGTCTCGACGACATGCTCCACAAATACCAAAAATAATAGTCTAAAATAAAAAAAAAAACAAATAACTTACTTTTATCATAAGATATAAATTATCTGGAGCATCTACTAAAAATAATTCTATTTCTTCCCTGGTTAGAATTTTTGATTTTTTTGGTTTATAACCGTCTGATTTCCGTTTTAAGAATGTTATCAATCTTGAATATCTAGCGATGTTTATATTATTGTGCAAATTTACAGTTGCTTTTAACATCGAATAATATGACCATAGAGACGACGGCTTACGGCATTTGGACTTTTCCGGAAAAACTTCAAGAAATACATTTTCTGTATAGTTACCGTCTACAACATTCTTCAATTTGCACCAGCTAACAAATTCATCGTAGACCTTATCGTATATTCTCTTAGATTTGGCGGGTAGTAAACTTAATTTTGCATCTTCTGCTGCTTTAAAAATTTCCGGTGGTATTCCGGAAACTATTTCATCGTTACTACTGTCCATTACATAAACAAAATATATAAAACTTCTTCGAAAATATACGTGAAGTCGACTGTAAATAAAAATGACGTCTACCTATTCTTGTCCTATTCTTGTCCTATTCTTGTCCTATTGACTTGGTTGCTATGGTAACGCGTATAGGTATATAGATTATTGTTATTTTATCATCTTATTAGTTTCAATAAGACTTATTTTTATTTAACTATACAAATGATTTGGTAGATTGTTATACAGGGTGAGTCGAGGGGTTAGTTTCAAAGGGAGTGTGTTGTACAGGGTGATTCTTTTATCATGGGAAATGAGTTTTTCTCGTAAACGGCTGCAGCAAATTGAGTTTTGTGAAAAGTATTTTATTTGGGCCGGCTAATGCTTAAAATTGGGATTGATAAGGAAGTTATAAATAAGCGACGCTGGGCGTCGCGACGCTTCAATTTTTTTTTTGTCAGAAGCATACCATTTTTATTTCAGAAATTGAAAGATCTATTCAATAGAAACACTTTTTTCAAATACCATTTTTTTCCATCTAAAACCATTCAAGCATTACAGACCAGTTTTTATGTTTTAAATTTGTCGATTCCCATACAAAAAATGCTGGGTTTTTAAATTTCACTAAATCAGGCAGGCTAACTTTTATGCTGATATTGACAACAAATATAATTTAGGATTTAAAGAAAACAATTTACAAGATGTTCCTACATTTAATAACACTTATGTAATTGTTTAGGAAATAATCAAAGTTTACACTAACAACCCATAAAACATACATAAAACATTAAAGAATAACATGAACTGTATTTAGTAAAAATTAATTGCTAATTCACAAATCTTATTTTAACAATTGCTCGATATATGCGCCATCGTTATCCACACATAAATTGTACCGCTTTCTTATTTCGAAAGATGTAACTTTTCTTAAAACATCACCAGATATTCCATTGCACGCATCAATAATTTTTTGTTTTAAAATATCTAAATTATTAGATTTTGTTTTATACACTATATTTTTTAAAATTCCCCATAAAAAGAAATCTAAGGGTGTCAAGTCCGGAGATCTAGGCGGAAATTTCAAGGGCCCGTGTGTCCCCAACCATCTTCCGTGGTAGACTTCATTCAAATAATTTTGAACAATGACCGCATTGTGGCAAGGAGCTCCATCTAGTTGAAACCATAAGTTTCTTCTGATTTGCAGTGGCACATGTTCCAGCAAAAGAGGAAGGTGATTTTGGAGAAAATCTAAGTATCTTGGGCCCGTCAAGGCGCCTTCATAAAAGTATGGCCCTACTAAGTGCCGCCCGACTATTCCGCACCAGACGTTTATGCCAAAGTGGCCCTGTATTTGATGTTGTCTGATTTTGCGCGGGTTTTCGTCTGACCAATAATGGGTATTTTTTTTGTTTGGTAATCCATGACTAACAAAATGACTTTCGTCTGTCCATAGTATATGAGAAAATAAATTAGGATTGTCATCCAAAGACACCAAAAACTGACAAATAAAATCCTTCCTCCTCTCAAAATCTCTAAGCGAAAGTTCTTGCAAATTATGAAATTTATAGTCATGGTATTTGTTGCTTTTTAAAACTCTTTGTATCACACTATAATTTAAATTTAAGTCTCTTGAAGCCTCTCTTATAGAAGCTTCATGGTGATTGTTAAAATAATTTAAAATAATTGCCACATTTTCATCCGTCGTGACAGTTTTTGTTCTTGATCTTTTACCTGCAAATTTGGCTCATTGAATTTATGGGGATTTATTAAAAAACACAAAACCTACCTTCAAATGCTTTAGGGTTTTGACGTAAACTAGTTTCTAACCTGGCAAACATTTTGTGGTCTGGAAGGTTGCGTTCGGGGTATTTTTCCGCATATAATCTTCTTGCAGCTAAACCATTTTTTTGGGCTTCTCCGTATAAAAGAAGCATGTCAACTTTATCTGAATGTGTAAACATATTTCTTATTACTCACTATTTTAATAGAAATAATTGAAATTACACTGACAGTTTCAGACATCAATCAATATAAGCCAATTATGTTTTTTCAAAGCCTACCTGATTTAGTGAAATTTAAAATACCATGCATTCTTTGTATGGCTATCTAGAAATTTGGAACATAAAAACTGGTCTGTAATGCTTGAATGGTTTTAGATGGAAAAAAATGGTATTTGAAAAAAGTGTTTCTATTGAATAGATCTTTCAATTTCTGAAATAAAAATGGTATGCTTCTGACAAAAAAAAAATTGAAGCGTCGCGACGCCCAGCGTCGCTTATTTATAACTTCCTTATCCATCCCAATTTTAAGCATTAGCCGGCCCAAATAAAATACTTTTCACAAAACTCAATTTGCTGCAGCCGTTTACGAGAAAAACTCATTTCCCATGATAAAAGAATCACCCTGTACATTCCAATTGGGAGTGCATTGGGAGTGCATTGGGAGTGCATTGGGAGTGTATTGGGAGTGTATTGTGAGTGCATTGGGAGTGTATTGTAAGTGTATTGTGAGTGCATTGGGAGTGCATTAGGAGCTTTTTGAATGTTTTGGAACAGAATTAAAACCATTTTGTAAGTATATTTAAATTATTTATTTTGGCGTTTCAAATAGTTTAAATATAAAAACTATTTTCAGCAAGACAGTCACTAAGATAAAACAAACAAGCAAAATGTCAACCATATAACCAAAATAATATTCTTACTTAAAAAATTAAGAACCTATAAAAATATTTCACAAGCCAATACGTTTTAAA